AAGAGCTGTTCTTCTTGTTGCTTACGGAACTCGTGAGTGGTCATCGCAGCTTTCCAACCAAGCCAGGATGTCTTGCTCCAGTCTCGACGTGGTAGTGCAATTACAACGCTCTGTGCCTCGACCGAGGGCTGACAAGCTGCCAGCTGAGATTTGGGGACAGGTGACGTGGCTGTGATGGTGTGACTGAGGCAGAGGGGCCCAGGGGGGCAGCTGTGGGGTTTCAATTTTCTGGTGGTCACGGTAAAAAAATAAAAGGCAAAGGCTCGGCTACTGGTGGCGCTGGGGGCTGGGACTGTCCGTGTCCCCTCGCTGGGTACTGCAGTTACACATTCCCCAGGAACCCATCCACACACCCTCAGCCCTGCCAGGGTAGGGAATCATGAATCCAGTCCCAATTCCCATGCCAGCATAAAGCCCAGCTGGCTTGCAGGAGGTGACAAACCCTGCATTGTGCGTCAGAGCCAAACCACTGACCCCGGCTTGGAGGAGCCCAGACAGCCCCTCCAGCTGCCTACGACCTCCCATCATGGCCCTGTTTGGTTGCAATGTCTTTGGTATCAGCTACGAGGGTGCCTGGGAGAGCTGGTTCCTCCAAATGCCACAAGATGCAACCGGTCATTGATGGGCCAATGGTACCTTTAGTGCCCCTTTTTCAGCTTATTCATCTACAGCAAGATACCCATGCTCTGGGTCACTTGAGGGGGAGGGAAGGAGGGTGAGGGGATGGAAAAGACTAGATAACATCATTTCACAATATTCCCAACCACCAAGTGTAAAAAGTGCTCCTTTCTCCAAATCTCAGTTAGAGCTTTCAGCATGAACTGACAAGTGTAAATCAAAATAAAAAGTCATCGTGTCAATCCACTCTGAGTGAAAACGTGGGAAAGAATCATAACAGAATAATGATGCTTTGCCACCAGCTGCATGTGTTGCCACTCAGAGAGGAGGAAAGAAGACCCAGAGACCAGTGGCAAGGTCATGCCAAAGGCCCCCGAGTCCCTTTTGCAGCTAACGCGCTTGGAAGTGCATCTCATCCGTCTTGGATTGTCCTGAATGCCACCTTCACTTCAGCCACCATCACTGAGATCTGCTAAGAGGAGCAAAGAACTGGGTGGTGAGGTCAGGACAGAAGAGCAAACAAAACAAAACAAAACACGTCGCGTGAAAAGTACATCTCGTGTGTAAACATAGAGAAAAGGGGTCGGTCAGGCAGGGGATCAGCCACGTTACTGTTTTAAAAGTGACGACAATGACAAAAAAAATGAACAATACAACCTCTGTCGCCAACAGCAAATAATAATAATAATAATAATAATAATAATAGTAATAATAATAATAATAATAATCACATCAC